CTGCACTTTTTTGGTCTCCAAAAATGGTTAAATATCTGTTTAAATAATAGTCCACCTTTTTGATTCTTCTCACAAAAGTACATAGTCTCACACTTTCCTACATTAAACTTCATCTGCTAAGTTTTGCCCTCTCAGTCAATCCATCAATTTTCCCCTGTCTATCTCTTACAACTTCATCACAGCATACCATCCCACTTATTTTCATACCACTAGCAAATTTGGATCTGTTATACTCTTCTCTCCAAATCATAAACATAGATAGTAAATAATTGAGGTCCTTGGACTGATCCTTTTGGAACTCCATTAGTTGCATCTTACCTGAAAAAAACCCATTAATTCCAACTCTTTCTGTGTGTTAACCAATCCTTCATCCATATTAATGCATGACCCCTAATACCATTGTCTCCTTTTTTTATTCACACATGTATTGTGAGCGTGGATGGCTGAACCAGTATTTATTGCCCATCCATAGTTGCCCTTGAAAAGTTGATGGTGAGCTGCCACCTTGAACTGCTACAGTCCATGTTCTGTAAGTGGATCCATAATGCTGTTAGGGAGGGAATTCCAGAATTTTGATCCAATGATACTGGAGGAATAGAGATGTATTTCCAAGTCAAGGTGATGATTGTATTTGAAGGACCTTGCAGGAGGTGATGTTACCATGTATCTGCTGATACTTAATAGTATCTTGTGCAATCACCTTTTTTGTGGAACCTTATTGAATACCTGATGGAAGTTTGACTACACCTACTGATTCTCATTTATACACTTGTATCTGGAAAAATTTCTCGCAAATTTGTTAAACATGATTTCCCTTTCACCAAGCTATGTTGACTTTGATTTTGTTAAGCTTTTCTAAATATCCTGTTATTTCTTCCTTAATAACAGACTCTAGCATTTTTACAATGACAGCCAAGTGGCCTATACTTTCCTGCTTTCTGTCTCACTCCTTTCTTGAATAGGTGTTTCACATTACTGGTTTTCTGCAGAACCCTCCTGTAAGTGAGTGAGTTCTGGAATATTATGACTAATGCCTCCACTATCTCTGCAACCACCTCCTCCAGAATCCTTAGATATAGTCCAGGGGGTCCTTGTAACTGGTTGGCCTTTAGTCCCATTAGTTTGTCAAAATTTTGTCCTTTGTGACAGAGACTGTTACAGGATCTTTCCTCCGATTTGCATTATTTTTGGGATCTTTACAGTATTCTCCACTATGAAGACTGATGCAAAGTATTGGTTTAAATTATCAGACATTTGCCTGCTCCCCATTATTAATTCCATAGTTGCATTCTGCAAGGGCATCACACCGACTTTAGCTACCCGCTTGCTTTTTTTTATTTATAAAACACATTGGTTTATTTACAGTGACTAATGCATGTAAACAGATTTTTGCAGGTACAAAAGAATTTTCTACTTCCCAGCCATCATCTCTCTCCACATCCAGAGTTCTTTGATGACTTTTGGGTCCTCCACCCTGAAGCCATTTTTTACGTAGTTTATAAACTTCCAGATTGGACAGGCCAAAACCTTTTTCCAAGGAGGTCTTCAACTTGATCTTGAATACTCGTGGAAGTCAGTTGCTTTTGGACTTTATATTTCTTGCCAATTTATTTTTATAATCAAATTTTTCCCTTCTTATTAGCTTTTAAGTCATCCACTGCTGGTTCCTATATAAAAAGAAACACAAAATCCTAATCTTCTGGGCTACACTAGTTTTTGCTGCTACATATGCCTTACAAAGAACAATATAGCACAGTTCCGTCTATTTCCTTCCTACCATGTATTTGTCCAGGTGTTTCTGAATGCTGCTATTGTGTCAGCTTGCACCATCTCTTCTGGCAGAGTGGTCCAGGCACTCATCACTCTGAAAAACTTGGCTCACCAATCTCTTTTAAACTCCACACCCCCCCCCCCGCTCCACTGCACCTTGAACTTGTGTCCCCTAGTAATTGACCCCTCTACCCTGGGGAAAGCCTTCTACTTTCCACTCTATCTGTGCCATTCACAATCTTATAGCTTGGATTGGATAGTCATCTCGACCACCTTTGTTAACCATGGTTCATGGTGGTTCATTCTTCTTGAAGTGCCTTCTTTTTGATCAAAATGTATTTTTGCTGAGCAATATGAAATATCTGCTCAAATGTCTGCCCTCATCCGGAGACCTATCCTTTAGTTTATTTCCCCAGTCTGCTTTAGACAAGTCTTCCTTAGTGTCACTGTGATTGCCCTTAATTAAGTCGAGAGCACTGGTTTGAAACCCAAATTGCTTACTTCAGATTGAGTTTAAAATTCAACCACATTGTGCTTGTGACCGCCAGCGGATCTTTAACCGTGAGAGCTCTCATTAGTCCTACTTTATTACATATAACTAAATCTTAAAAAGTTGGTTCCCAGGTAGTTTCTTAGAAACAAACTCTGATACAATCTACAAATCCTGACTCTTGCAGGATACTACCACTGAACCAGAAGAGCCCATGTTTTTGATTTTACCGTTGCCAATTTGATTTGTCAATTCAAAATAACAGACTAAAATCATCTATTACAATTGTAGTGCCTTTCTTGTATTATATTGTGATTTATACTTTGACCAACAAAGAGGCAATTCTTCAGGGGGTCTACTGATGAGTCCCACCTATTACTTTTTTCCTCTGTTAAGTTCTACCCAACTGATTCCACATCATGACCCAAGGGTGTCACTGTTTTCATTTCCAACATGAATAATCTTTGGTGAACTATTCAGATGCTATTCCGTGCTTTTGGCTCTTGCCAATTCCAAATAGGCGCAGATGAATTCAGCCTAAGAATTTAAGAGTATTATCTCATTGATTGTGGCTGAAGTTCAACTAGATAGTTCTTTAGTGTATGTATGTAGGATTTGGTCTGGATGTCAAAGATTATTTCCAAAATTTGGTCAAGTTCACAAATAGTGGTTTAAAGCAATTGTTTTTTTTTTGGTTGTTTCATATTCCAGAACTCAATCCAGCGTTGGATTAAGGGTTCCAGTGGAAAATCAGTAATGTGAAACCCACGTGCACACAAAGAACCTGTGCATGGAGACTTTTTTTTAATGTGGGAAGGTAATTCACTACAGTTACCACAAAGGTCTGGTTGCCCACTTTTATCACTAACTATAGGCACATCAGAAGAATTTAAATTGGTAGTCAACCTCTTTGGATCTTGTGATACACTTACTGTGGCCACCAAGATGGGACGTGAATCCAAAGCTTCAGGCTCCGAGGTGAGGACTCTGCGACTATATAAGAGTCCTCCTAGAAACTGTATTGCATTAACTAAATAGACAGAAAAGACACGTTGTTGCAATAGATGAGACAGTGTGTTGGTTCAAAATTTGACGATAGGGCTGAATGGAACCGTAGTATTGATCTCTTCTGTTCTCAGTCGTCTTCAGCTAACCAAAATGCCAGGCAGAAACCACATGGATCCACATCAACGAGCTCTCCTCTATTGAAAGTGCATTCTACTCTTGATTAAATTTATATACTTCCAAGTGGGCTGGTGTGTGTGTCTAATGTATTTGCATTTGAATGTCCAATTACTGATAAAAAGACACAACATAGATAGCTTTCTCTTACCCCTGACATCATGTTATTGCTTATATATTGTATGAACATCGTATTCATTTAGTGAACAAAATATTCCACCTTATCAGGCCCAGGAATGTCGACATGAAGGCTGTGCTTGAAAGATATATATCACCCAGATAACATTCTTGTGAACAATAGACAATTGATTGTGTTGTCTCATTGTTATCTCCTGAACTGAGAACAGAGAAACTTTATTCCTAAGAAGCTGCAGATTCAGCATTTCTTCTTGAATTGAATTGAATCGTTTATTGTCACATACATTCAATGTAAAAATACAGTGAGAAGTGTTTGCCTTCACTGTATATAGATGGCACGCAATTTCTGTAATGTTTTCAAAACTGTTCTGTGTTGTAACTATAGTATTAAAAGTACCATCTTTTAATGTAGGTGTCCACCCACTAAGATTTACTGATTTTGAAATCTGCTTCTCACACGTTGTACCGAATACTGTACTGTTTTTTCCCAGGCTTCGGTTATCAATAATATAGTTTTACATGAGTTTTCAAGGTAACCACTGATGCTTAACTCTCCTAACAAGACTCTTCATTTTTTTTTGAGTCTGTTTCACATTTTCTTTTAATTGTAGCCTGGGCATCTCACATGACCAATTCCCCCACATTGATTGTAATGGTGGGATTGCCTGCTCGTGGAAAGACTTACGTTTCTAAGAAGCTCACTCGTTATCTCAATTGGATCGGTGTCCCAACCAAAGGTAAGTCATGAGGTAATTTGTTATTATATAGATTTAATCTCTCAAGTATTATGAAATATTTGATCAACCAAGTAACAGGAGCAGCAAATTTAAATGTATTATTACATAGATGCACAGAAGGCATTAATCGATCACAGTAATAACCAAAGGTGCTATTCATACAAGGATGGATGTTTCTTGATGTGTGCACTCATTTTTGTTAAAGTCCTTGACCCACTGTAGTGACGTAGCCCATTGTGCTGATGCAGTATTATGATCCTGAAATGTTTAATTTATTATCCTGTAACTTAGCTATAATTGTAGAACTGATATCATCATAGACTAAATACTTCCAGAGAATTACTGGTGATTTGACCCAACCATATTAATTATCTCAATCTACAGCCCTTGGAGCATGAACCTACTTACTGTTTGTTTGTCTTTCCTGTTGCACTGGTTTCTTTAAATTTAAAAAAAAATCATGGGATGTGGGCTTTGCTGGCTGGCCAGCATTTATTACTCATCTGTAGTTGCTTCTGAGAGGGTGGTGATGTGCTGCCTCCTTGAACTGCTGCAATCCATTTGCTGTAGATAGACCCACAATGCTGTTAAGAAGGAAATTCCAGGAATTGAAGGAATGTCAATATATTTCCAAGTCTGGATGGTGAATGGCTTGGAGGGGAACTTGCAGGTGTTACTGTTCCCATGTGCCTGCTGCCTTTGTCTTTCTAATGGTAGTGGTTCATGGATTTGTGGCAACATGGTAGCTCAATGGTTAGCACTGCTGCCTCACAGCACCAGGAACCTGGGTTCGATTCCACCTTCGGGCGACTGTACATGTGGCGTTTGCTCATGCTCCTGTGAGTTTCCTCCAGATGCTCTGGTTTCCTGCTACAGTCCAAAGATGTGCAGGTTAGGTGGATTGGCCATGCTATATTGCCCAAGGTGTCCAGGGATGTGTAGGCTAGACTAGCCATGGGGAATGTAGGGTTACGGGGATTGGGTAATGGGGTGGGTCTGGGTGAGATGCTATTTGGAAGGTTGGTGTGGACTTGATGGGTTGAATGGCCTGCTTCCACACTGTAGGGATTCTATGGATGGTGCTGTCTAAAGGGCATTGGTAAATTTCTGTAGTGCATCACATAGATGGTACACATTGCTGTTACTGTGCAGTGTTTAACACTGAAGCTTATTGTTTGCTTTTTGTTTCTGGGTCAGAATAATTTTTGGTTTGAGTGGCCTGTGTGTTTTTCATTGCTCTTCCTGTGTGTACTATTTGCATCAATAAAATAGATAAACTTCAGAAGGATGGAAGCAGAAGTTGCAGCAAGCTAGAAACAGGCAAAATGTGAAAGGTTAGGGTGGAAATCTAGATTAGAATTAATAATTTTTTAAGTTATTGTATATATCACTGCATTATTCTATTTTCAGCTTTATCTATGTGGCTGTATTGTATTCACAGTTTATTTTATTTTATATAAATATTATGTATTGGGTTTCGTTTGGGAATCTGTTTCTGAATATTAAAAAAACTCATCTTTCTTTAAGTGCATAATGTTGTCTTTATTCTAGTACCAATCCACAAGCACTAGGTTTATTAAATTTAATTGAATGATATGTTGTGATGAGATTTGAATTCAACACCACAATGTTTACCATGTGTATCATTCTTCTTAAGCCATCTGCTATCTTGAACGGGCATTTCGACAGAATTCCAAGTTCTAAGCACTGCATTTCTTTCTTTCACCATCCCCTATCTGTTGATGGGTAAATCACTGTTTCATAAAGTCTTTGCTGTTGGGGATTAATGATGACTTTTTGTTTAGTGTAAAGACTTGAATTTGAAATATGCTTTTTGGGGTTTGTAGATTATCTTGTATCTCTGGTCCTGTTATTGCTGTTCAAGAATAAGATTTCAAACCCATCTCCATCCACTCTGATTCTTGCATGTCCTCACTTACCACTTTATCATTTTCGTTATTTGTTCATGGGATGTTGCTGCTGGATCAGCATTGGCCATTTCTCTTTGCCCTCAAGAAGTTGATGAGCCACCTTCTTGAAACGCTACAGTCCGTAGGCATATAGACAACCACAGTGCTGTAGTGAAGAAATAGCAAGCTAGTTATAAATCAGGGTAACGTGTGGCTTAAAGAGGAGTTTGCAGGTGGCAGTGACCCCAGTCATTCGCCACCTGCAAACTCCTCTTTAAGCCACACGTTGTCTTGCTAGGTTTGGAAGGTGTTGACCATAAGACCATATGACTTGGGAGCAGAAGCAGCCATTCAGCCATCAAGTCTGCTCCATCCTTCAGTGCGCTTTGTCTGATTAGATAAACCTTAACTTCTCTTTCTGTCCTTTTTCCATAACCCTTGATTCCAATACTGATCAAAAATCTATCTGTCTCCGCTTTGAATATACTTAACAAACCAGCATCAACAACCCTCTATAGTAAAGAATTCCACAAATTGACTACCCACTTAGAGAAGAAATCCCTTCTCATCTTGACCTAACTGAACTGCCTCTTACTCTTAAATTGCGCCCTCTGGTCTTAGACTCTCCCACAGGGGAAACAACTCCCCGTCTGCCCTGTCAAATCCCCAATAATGTTGTATATTTCAGCATCGTTACCACTCATTCTTCTAACCTTCATACCTGGACTAACTGATGAACTTTCTCTAGGTGTCTCCACTGCTAATGTCTTTTCTTTGATGGGGGACCAAAACTTTTCAAGTGTTCCAGGTGTGGTCTAACTAGTGCCTTGTATAGGTTTAATAAGACTTCCCTATTTTTGTACACCATTCACTTGGAATTAAAGTCCAACATTCCATTTGCCTTCCCTATAACCTGTTGAACTTGTTGGAGGACTCCCAAATCTCTCTGTACTACAGTTTCTGTAGTTTTTCTATGTAAATAATATTTGGCCACTCTGTTCATCCTGCTAAAATGCACAACTTCACACTTTTTCCACATTTATTTCATCTGCCAAGTTTTTACCCCCTTGCTTAACCTGTCTATATTCCTCTGTAGACTCTTTGTGCCATCCTAGTCACTTACCTTCCCATTTATTCTTGTGTTATCCACAAACTTGGCAATGGTATGTTCACTTCTCTCATCCAAATCATAAATATATATTAAAATAATTATAGTTCCTGCAATGATCAACAGTCATAGTTTGCCATCCTGAAATTTCCCTTCTTATCCCAACTCTGTCTTCTGCTACTTAGCCAATCCTCTCTCACTAATGTCTTACTCACAACAACATGGCTGTTATTACGTAGTTGAAAGAATGGGAACTTATCGAAGACCTTATGGCAATCCACATATATGACATCCTACGTACTAACTCTTCAGAGAATTTTAATAAATTTGTTAGGAATGACTTTCTCTTCGTGAACCCATGCTGATTCTGATTATACTATGCATTTCTTAAAGTCTGATATTATATCCTTTATAATTGCATCTAACATTTTCCCAATAACATGTATTTTAAGCTAACTGGCCTTTAGTAACCTGTTTGTTTTTGTCACTTCTTTTTGAATAAAGGTATTATGTTGGTAGTTTTCCCGTCTTCTTGCACTTTTCCAGAATCTAATGATTCTTGGAAGGTTACTACCTGTGCATCCACTATTTTCACAGCTATTTCCTTTAATAAACTGTTCCATCAAGTCCGAGAGATCTATTGGCCTTAAGCCCATTAATTTTCCTACTACTTTTTCTCTGGTGATAGTTATCGTATTTATTTCCTCTCTCTTCTGTTTCTTTTCCGTTTTGATTACTCTTGTGCCATTGAGTTTTTTTGTTACTTTGTTTCATTACCCGTGCGAACTTACCATTTAATTTCACGTGTGTGTCCCACCTTTCAGTTATAACAGGGGTTGAACTAATTGGTCACTCTCGACTAGCATCTTACTATTTAGTATTAACCATGTTTGACAAGAATTAGAAAAATACAACTGAATGTTTAGACGTAGTTGGACTTTTGAATTGTATTTACAAACACTTCAAAAAATGCCACTTCCTCTGAAGTGCATGGGAGATTTTAAGGTCTTGAAATGCAATATAGGTAATAGAAGTCCTATTTATTGCTGTTTCTCAATATCCATCAAAATTTGAAGCAAATAACCGGATTTCACTATCTTTAGTATTTGTTGCAAAATTGAAAATGTAGTCTAGACTCTGTTCACATTCATGGTGGACAATACATGTTTACACATGTACACGGAATGGCATAAAATCTTCATACAAAGAACCTTGGGTGAGGGTAATTTAATATCAATTATCCATAAACCATAGCCACAAATAAGATTGGAAAATTGTCCTTCAAAAGTGTCATATTACATGTCTGAGGTTTGCATACTGACAGTAAAACTATCAATACTCATTGCTGTTATGCCAGTGAACCTGCTTGCAACTTTGGGAGTCACAGATGCAGGATAATGGAGAAATCCAGATGTTTTGGCAGTAGTTCAACATTTCTCCAAAGATTGTATTATTCAGGTTCACTCAGAATGTAGTCCCTAAGTAATCAGTTAATGGACAGTGATTATTTGCATTGTGTACCAGTGTATTTGCACTCAATTGATTGCACCTACTCATGTCCCATCTCCAGAGTACCAAATGGAGAAGGAAAAAGACTTGGGGCCTGCCTGCTGAAGCATGTTAGTTCCACACTTGTTTACATTACATATGGAGCCTGAAGGAAATATGAATCTGAGGCCTTGCGTGGCAAAAAGCAGGAACAACTTACAAGTGGCTTGATAGGTGCAAAAGCTACCTACCCGTAGGCTTGGTAAGGCTCAGGAAGAATGTGTTTTGGCACACCACACTTCAGGCAAGGCAGTTGCAATTTCTAGGAACAGGAATCCACAAATGAGGTCTATCTGTTTAACCACATTATAGCCATTCCCAACTGTTGTCTGAACTGGGGACTGCTGAAGCCTTTTGTTTGCAAATCTGGTACTGGTGGGGACAATTACAACATTTAATGAGTATTTAGATGAATACTGGACCTGAAACATGCT